TTAATAACAGTGAAGCAGCAGCATGTTACTGTTGTAGCTGCTGCAGGTTACTTTGAACTACTTTATATACAGTTTGATGAACAGTGATGGCAGATGAGGGCTCATCAGATGAAGAAAAAAGAAAAAACAAAGCTCTGATACACAACTTTCACTTCTTGGTCTGTTTCTCTCAGTTTTGGTAAAATATTGAAGAATTATGAGATTCACTAAAATGAAAACAGGTGAGATATTTACAGGGAAAATCAGAGTTTGGTGGAGCTGTGAACAACACGTAGACACTAAACACTGGATTCCTGCACGACAGGAACGAAGAAAAAAGGTTGGCTGGAATTTCTAGATATCCCTAATAAAGGGGTTACCCACCATCACCTACTGCTTGCTCAATCCAAAGTGAGGTCTCATGAGATCACCACCTTAATATGTTAAACACTGTATGTTGTGAATTGGCGCCGTATGCATAAAACTGAATGGAGCTGAAGTGAATAGAATATGCTGTATTTTAATAGCTTGTTATATTATGCTTTGTGTAAGGTTTTCTGATAAATGTGGGGAGTGAGAAAGTGCAGTATTTCCCTCTGAAATGCAGCAGAGTTGAAGTGTAAAGCAGCACTAAGTACCTTACTTAGGTGTAGGACGTGAGTAAACATACTGGGTGACTTGCCTCCTCTGGTTCTGACACCCTCCTGTCAGTGTCCTCAGTGTCACTGCCTCTGCAGTAGGCCAAGCCAGGCTATTTATTTTTTTTTGTTCTTTTTTTTGCTCGACTGGCAGGGCCGTGTGTCTGACCTTGCTTTGGAGTGATTTCTGTCAGCGCTGTTAGCCAGGTTGCTAAGAGGCTTGCAGGCAGCAGATCAGTTTAGCACAGCCTCACCTGACTAATCTGATTACTTCAACAAGGCTGCTATCAATGTGCAAGTCAGGACAAACAAATACAAATATATCTTCACACTTTGATGTGTAAGAGGTCACCTTCATAGCCCATCGATCTCGGCAGAGCTCCCTGTCGCAATGTGACGCGTTTGAGCTTCATCTGCGAGCGTCTTTGCCTTTAATCACAGTTTAAAAGATGGAGCCTGCCCTCTCCTGGAAGCTTAATTTCCAGCTGTAGCACTGCAGTGACCTGTACATACTGCCAGGTCAAAAGAGCAACAGCAGGCTTTCAGTGGCTTACCACAGATAACAGACAGATATTTTCAGCCCAGTTCTCCAGCTCACATACTTATTTCGCCTTTATTACCCGTACTGCCACATGTAAGGTTGACCCTTGAACTGAGGACTGCCATCTTTCGCAGAATTTGCCGGGTGGGGGTGAAGCCTGGGCTAATGTGAGGAAAGCTGATCAGCAAATCAGTAGTAAAGATAGCTTGACATACTGCAGCAGCAATCTTACGAAAGCTGCCATTTGTCATAATCGGTTTCTGTTTTCAACGCAGGTTCCAGCTGTTGAAGAAAAATGAGAATAAGCTGTAATTGGCTGGATGATTGTATGAAACAGCCATGTGGGGACATTTGAACTGTGCTACATTTTAGTTAGTATCCTCAACACATGTGAGAAGACTAGGGTAACCTCGAAGAGTATGGGTAAAGGTCTTAGCGGGATTTAAACTGCAGCAGCAGCAGCAGGGTTACGTGAGGCTACAGACCCTTTATCATGGCCTCGAGCTGAAAGTGATTACATGCACACGATTAAATAGACATGCATTTCTATAAATTAAAGTGGCCATCAGTGATAAAACAGCTAAGAGCATTAGCGTAAGGAGTTTCTCATGACTGTAAATACCAGTGAGGTTTGGTAGCAGGATGAGCAATGATGAAAAACAACACAATGATGATGAGGATTTCAGGTTGGAAGTGAACCTCTCTTTCATTTAAAGGCAATTTTCATAGATTTTGATGAGGGATTTTGAAGAGTCCGTGTTCTGGTACATAATGTTCCATAAACTTCAGCCCCTAATGGATGATGAGTTCCTCACAATATCATATCATTTTTTAAAATCACATTTTCCTAGTATTTAATATTGGTTTGTAATCAGAAGAGATCGCCTTTCTGTCTTTTTACAGATTTGGTTCTGCCACAAATGTCTCTACAATGCTCAAGGTTTAAGGTATTTTTAAAAAATCTTCCCACGTGGAATAATTTAAAGACTTCATCAGCACATATGTTAATACACCATGTAAAGGATACAGAGTGGATGTGCTTCTACTTTCACCTTCTTTTTCATCTCCTTCAGCCCTCCCCCCACACACACACACTCGTTCCACACTCATTTGGATTAAAAGCTAAAGAAGGTTGAGAAGTCCATCCCACTCTTCCCTTTCTTTTTACATGTTAGCTGTCCCCACCTCTCTGCCAATCTATTTTTTACCAATCCAAACTCTGGATCAGAGTTACGCATCATCTCACGCACCGTCCTGTTGCTCTGTGGTTTGGGGTGGGCCCCAGTCCAAAACAGGGACGGCAAGAACTAAAGCAACACCAACCGGCTGGAAATGTGGAGGTTATTGAACCTTTTCTTTTGGGAACTTGGATGCAAAAGGAGCTAGTTTTTTCTTTTTTTTCTTTTTTTACTTCACATGACATTTGGATTACTTATGATATTTTTTCACAACAAAAGACCGAGGATAACCACTCCTGCTCTGTACTTCAGTATTCTTAATCCACCTGGAGTTTGGATGGTGCTTTTCAACGACAAGCTCCAACCCTGACATGGCTCCTATGTAGAGAAGCTGCCCCAGGTCAGAACGGTTTCTTATTACATTTATTCCTTTGACTTGTCTTGTGTCTTCTGGGTAATGTAGATGTAGTTTGATCAATTAACTCGTTATTGTAGAATTGTTCAAATGCATTTGTAGGGCAGCTACTCCTGTTAAGACGATGAGGATCAAGGATGATCGAATGACTTACATAGATGTTACAGAATATAAAGGTACTGATCTCGCCTTGAAATCTAAAGAGAATTTTAGTCAATTAACATAATTTGACCCATTTTTTATTTTCAGTAGTATGTAAGAACCGGGTTAGAACATTCGTCAGTGCTCCTCTTAACCTATTAGCAACTGATAAGCCAGTGTCAGTATTAGCCACTTTAGGAGGCTTGTTGATTGCTGCTGACTTGCTCCATTTCAGTTTAAAGGACGAGGAAAGAAATAAGGCTCTGTGGTATTTTCTATTGTTAAAATGTCATTTTTGAAACACTGAAAATGACAGGTGGTTTACATTTCAGTTTTAACCTGTAACAGGCCTCGATGAGCTTGATGAACAGGCTTTACAAAGATATTCCTGACAAAAATGACTTATGTTGAATAAAAAACAAAGATTATCAACTTATTTGTCAACTGCATTACTCTGATGTAAGGTCAGACTTTCAGCATTTTTAGCTATAGTCTAAAAGCTCTTTATTTAATCCCCTATATCTTACACTATGATTTGGAAATATCCACATGAAAAAAGACCCTCAAATTCAGTCAGTAACAGGTGCAGAAATATGAGGTGAAAATAAACAGGTGCTCAATGGACAGGAGGCACTTGAAATATAATAAATCTCTCTATCCTTATCACCAGACCAGATCAAGATCCAGATCAAGATTTGAAAAATACTGCCTAATCAGCTTTGCAAGCTAGACAGTGAACAATAGTTTTATAACAATGAGTCAGTGACATCAATACTACTTGTTCTGAAACTGCTGCAGCCATCTTTGACGCAGCAGAAACAAAGCCCAACAATGCTGCCTCCATCTTAGACATAGTAGTGCTAGGTGGCGTCTTCATGATTGGGCCGGGCTTGGCAACCTTCAAAGAATGGCACCAGTTATGTTTTTTACAACAAGGACCTCCAGAGTGCAAACGGTTAAACTGACTTTATAAACCAATGTTAGAACTTTTTATATTTCTTCTCAAGACCAAGGTCAAGGTCAATATAAATGAAACAGTTATCAGATTTTCTTTAGCATTAGCTGCTGTTTATATTGTCCTCACCACAGGCAGGTGTTTAGGCCTTTTGCTGTGCTGTTACTATTAATACTTTCGACATGGTCAGCCATTAAAAAAAAATAAAAAAAATCTCAATATAGAGTTAGAGGAAATAAGTATCTGTGTTTGTTCACCTGTTAAAAACACAATTTTGGTTTTGTGGTTCCTTGTATTTCAGAAAGTCTCTAAAGTTCAAGTTGAAAGTTAGAGAATAATCAAGCTCAGCTGTCTGTTCTAAATGATCCTGAAGCACCAATGTAAGGTTCATCTAGCTATCTTTTGCATTGGACAAAAACAATCTTTTAATCTTGAGATGTTTCTAGCCACTGATATAAATTTAGATGTGGGAGAGGTGACTGCAAGGTTGAAGAAGTAGAATCGTCCAGAAAAGGATGGCAGAAGGGATCTCAAGAGATTGACTTTAGCAGGGAAAAGAGATACCAAGACCAAATGCAGACATCAGGGCCAGATTTAGCTCCACGTTACTTGGCATTTGATCTAAACTCCATAGCCCTGGCAGAGCTAATCAGCTTGCCACTCACATACCATTAATTCCAAAAGGAACAGCACAGGGACTCTGGGCGGGGTGTCCTGAGCGAGACAGATGGATGCTGATAAGATTCAACATTACATTCTGTTAAACAAAACAGCTCAGTGAGACGTAAGGTGAGGCCAGAGGCATGTAAGTTGAGTTCAGCACCAAGTGAGTTGAGGTCACTGATCATACCTGTGTCCTCGAGACTCAATAAGCCTTGAGGTGTCACAGTAGACAAAGTATAGGAAGCAAATGCCGATCACATTAAATGTCATACTATAAGTTTTCTAATTCTTACCACCTTTTTTGTTTTTGTTTGTTTCATGGAGGCAGTGATGGCTTGGAGTCGTCTTGTCGCCCGTCTAGTTTTGGACTAGAGGCCTACAGAGTGCCAAGGGAGACAGTCCCACTGACAGAGACACTCACTCTCACACCAACAACCATAAACTCCACTCGCCTTCTGTGTCTGAAGCATCAGAACAGCTGTGTGAGGACATGGAAAGCAACATAGACCCTCGCTGTCTGCACAACCTCTCCTACCACCCCCGATGGCAGCACAGCTCAATAAAAGTGAAGAGAAAAAGAAATATACGGACAAACAGCTCCAGCGGGTGTAGTCAGTTTGAATCAACATCGTCATCATTGTCATCAAAGTCGTTATCATCTAAACCACAGTTGCCATCATCCACCATACAGCACACCAGGAGATGGAAGGGGAACTGGTTTCTTTTGCCCTTACTCATGATCTCATTTTTCCCCTGTCAAGCCTGGGCAACTACTTTTAAGATGGCCCTGGTTGGACCCTGGGCATGTGACCTCTTATACTCCAAAGCCCTCCCAGACTTGGCAGCCCGACTCGCAATCGCCCGCATAAACAAAGACCCCTACCTCAACAAAGGCTACTGGTATGACTATACGCTGATCAATGAGGACTGCAAGTCATCCCGTGCCCTTGCTCGCTTCGCTGGGTTAGACGGTTATGGTGCTGCTTTCCTGGGCCCAGCCAACCCAGGCTACTGCTCCTCAGCTGCTCTGTACGCAAAAGAGTGGGATGCTGGGATTCTCTCCTGGGGCTGCCTCAAACCCAACATGAACCAAGGTGGGATGTATCCTACCTTCCTGAGACCACTGCCACTGTCCTCCCATGTACTTTTTACTGTGTTGCGGTACTTTCGTTGGGCGCATGTGGCCATAATATCGCAGGAGCAAGATGTGTGGGAAGCTACAGGACAGGAGTTGGCCTCTTCACTGAGGGCCCTTGGCCTGCCTGTCAATCCCGTGGTCACAATGGAGGACAACAAGGACGGGCCTCGGAAAGCCCTGACAAAAGTGCGGGAAGCAGACCGGGTCAGAGGTGAGTAGTATAAGACCGAAAAAACAGTTAACAGAAGAAACCTCCACGAGTCATGCAAATAAACAGTTTTTTAACCTTATCTTTTCTGCAGTGATCATCATGTGCATGCCATCTGTTTTGATTGGTGGCCAAGCTCAGTACCAACTTCTGACAACAGCCTTGTCTATGCGTATGATCGACCGTGGCTACGTGTTCATTCCCTACGACACCCTTCTGTACTCACTGCCCTACAGAGATGCCCCATACTATATGCTAGGTAATGACACCAGGTTGCGGAAAGCCTATGACGGTGTTCTCACTATCACTATGGACTCTGGAGAGCGCAATTTCTACGAGGCCTTCAAAGATGCTCAGGACAGCTATGAAATACGTAGCAGCACTCCACCAGAGCAGGTAACACTCGTTGTTTATTAGGAGATGATAGGAAACAATGACAAGTCATGAAGGAGAGCAAAAAAAACAAAAAACACTTACACAACTGCACTGCTGTTTTCTCTGATAGGTTTCTCCATTCTTTGGCACCATCTACAACATGATGTACTTCACAGCTATGACTGCTGAGCAGGCGCGTGAAAATGGAGGCCGTTGGGTAACTGGTCAGATCCTGGGTGAAAGTACTGGTGGCTTTGAATTCCAAGGATTCAACCAACCCTTGAGATCTGGCAGGCATGGTGAAGGCATGCAGGCTCCCTATGTAGTGCTGGACTACAGCGGAATAGGCACCACTCTGTACTCCACGCATGCTCTCCATGCATCTCATACAGATGGCAAGACGGGGGGCTTGAAATATCTTGGCCGTTCTATCCATTTTGCAGGCAGCACTCCCTACAAAGACTCAGGTTGCTGGTTTAGCCCATACTTTGCCTGCACTGGAGGTGAGCCTCAATCAGAAAATATAAATAAGCTGTTGTGGTGTACATTGCTGAGTTTAGAGCATTCAAACTTCCTGTCTTTGTGTGTTTCTCTTCTCTTCCCAAAGGCCTGGATTCAGTCACTCTCTTCTTTATTTGCCTTTTGTTCATTTCACTTCTTGGATGTGCAGTGAACATATTTCTTCGTCTCAAGTAAGTCGGAGCAGGATGCGAAAATAATTATACTTGATTCAGTTGGATTTTGTACGGTTTCTAGAACATATCATGATTGTTGGTAATCCTGTGTCTATACAGACGAAGTGGTAGGGTTGGCTTCAGCTTTGGTGGAAGTAGCGGTGGATCAACAAAGGTAGTCCTGACTCTCGATGATCTCGTCTTCATCAACACTCAAGTCAGCAAACGGGTCAGTACTGAGTTGAATTAATACTGACAGTAACTGTGGGTTTCTTCTCTCTTTGTGCCTGCAGTTTGCAGCAAGTTGAATATTGTACATTGTTTCCTCTAAGCTCATCTGTCCTCTTTGAACTCTGTGTGTGAGCAGAAGCTAAACGATGAGAGCATTATGAAGAGCCAGCTGGATATGAAGACGCCTCATCATTCAGTGTCCGGTCGCAGCTACTTAGCCTCCACGCCAGACAGCTCCAATGTTGCAGTGTTTGAGGTGAGGATAGTCTGACATGACTCATTCAAATAAACTTTACCGATTTGGAGCGCATGACTCATGATTTGACTGTAATATTTGTTTGTATTAGGGGGACTGGGTCTGGTTGAAGAAATGTCCCGCTGGAGCTGTGTCAGGCGTCAATGGCAGCACTGAGTTTGTCTTCGTCAAGGTAAATGAATGAAACTAAAGTTCTTTACTCAAACTGTTTATTTTGTCCTAACCAAAGGCACATGAGTCCTTATTACAAAAACTAAATCTTCATTGCAGCCAGAAACCAAGTAGATTTAGTCATCTGTAATTGAGAATAAGGCAAAAGTATTGACTGGTTACAAAAATGACTCAAGCACAGTGATTGACATTCATGTTTCTGTTATCTTCCTCTCAGCTCAGAGACATGAGGCACGAGAACCTCAACCTGTTCCTGGGGCTGTTCTTCGACTCGGGCATCTTTGGTGTTGTGACCGAGCACTGCACCAGGGGCAGCTTGGAGGATTTGCTCAGCAATGAAGATGTTCGCCTTGACTGGATGTTCAAGTCTTCTCTGTTAATGGATCTGATCCGGGTAAGACATATAAAAAAATAACTCACTCATGCTTTTTTTTCTCACATCACCATGTTTTGCATCACTTAGACATTTTTCAAAATCTGTCATCAGGGGATGAAGTACCTGCATAATCGTGATATCATCCATGGGCGACTCAAATCCCGCAACTGTGTGGTAGATGGCCGCTTTGTGCTGAAGGTGACAGATTACGGGTTCAATGAGATCTTGATTGCCCAAAGCATCGACAATGATGACGAAAAGCCAGAAGGTGGGGGCATGTGCATTCTCACACTTAACATTTTCAGACTTTGTTGGTGCCCATTTACTTTTATTAATGGTCGCGCAACTTTTTTCTCGAAAAGATCTGCTTTGGACGGCTCCTGAGCTGCTGAGAAGCTCGAGTCTGAGGAGGAGGGGCACTTTCTATGGGGACGTCTACAGCTTCGCCATCATCGTGCAGGAGGTCATTTCTCGCTCTGCACCTTACTGCATGCTGGACATGCCCACCAAGGGTGAGTAACTGCTCCACTGCATGTGCTTTTTACTAGCAGTGACATTCATAGTTTGGTGGAAAAACCTGGCTGCACAAAATCTGTCTGTTTTTGCATTTTTGTGTGTGTCTAACATTGGTGTCTGCGCTGCTGTGTTGTTTGTGCTCACAGAGATCATCAATAAGATCAAAGAACCTCCTCCTTTGTGTCGGCCTGTTGTGTCCGTGGACGAGGCCCCGCTGGATGTGATACAGGTCATGAAGCAGGCCTGGAGCGAAGAGCCAGACAAGAGGCCGACCTTCGAGGAGCTCTTCAAACAGGTAAAAACAGTGAAAACACACGTGTTCGTATGATGTTTTGGAGAAAGTTGGACATTCTGATGCCTCCTTTTTATTGTGTGATAGTTCAAGAGCATCACCAAGGGAAAGAAGACCAACATCATCGACTCTATGCTGAGGATGTTGGAACAGTACTCCTCCAACCTGGAGGATCTGATCAGAGAGAGGACGGAGGAGCTGGAGGTGGAGAGACAGAAGACTGACAATCTGGTAGCGCAGATGTTGCCCAAGTGAGTGTCCAGCAACTTTTATTGACACATGAAAGACATAATTAAAATGCAGTGTAATTTTCTAAGTCATAAATATGGAGGTCTGTAGCGCATCAAGACAATTCCAATAAAACGTGACACAATTCCAATTAAATGTGACGCTTAAATGATGCTCCTTTTACTGCCTCAGAGAGGTCAAAGGTCAGAGAGCATCCCTGAATCCTGTGATGATTCAGTTCTCAGTTAACTGCTCCCTCACATACAGCAGTGGTCTGAGGTGTTGTGCAGCGACTCAAAAACACAGTGAAAGTATTGTGAGGTTGTAGCCGTCAAAGCGCGTTTCTCAATATTTCTTTTACGTCTTTCCTCCTTTAGTCATTTCTCCAACTTCTCCACCAGAACGTGATGGTGTTTTTGCCTTGTTTAGCAAGTGTGGGAACACTTGGAGTAACATCACAGTGACGTGGATGCGATCAGACAGTCAAACTTGCCTAAAGCAAACACTAACATTAAAATTCTCTTTAGATTTTGCTTGCCTATACCAATTATTCTGTAGTTTTTCATGCATAACTAAATGTAAAGTGATGTTTAACTTCAAATTAACAACCAGATGAAATGGATCAACAGTGTTTTCTGCTATTGTATAGTATTGCATCCTGGTAATGCATCATAGTCTATTTCTACTAGTATGTCATCTTAAGAAGATTTTTTCTACAAGGCCTCCCAATTTGTTTACATAGTAAATGATGTGTGTCAGTTTGTGCGACAAGTCAGCCACCTCATTTTGTTTCCGTTTATGATATGCAGTGCAGATCATCAATAATGTTTCTGTCCCAGACAGACGTTAATTGCTCTCATCCGAAAGTTGGATGCTTTAGCAAACTCAGCTGTGTCCTTCATGTCACTGAAATCAATTTAGCTATAGCTTATTAGAATCATTATATGAGGTCATATAAAAATGACAGCAGTCATTTGAAATAACTCATCTGCCACAGAGAAGTGACTCTCCTGTAGTAAACTGTTAACTGCAGATTGAGAGGACAGTCTCATCACACAGTGTCAGTCATGTTGTTAGAGATGACATACTGCCTGTTTTGCAGTGGTCAGCAATAAAAGTTTGAGAGAAAACTGTAGAATTACCTTTTTAATCAAATTAGAGAGGGACAGATATGTCTGTTAAAGTCTTTGAAAGTGTTTCATTTGTTACTTTGAACAGTTCTTGTGAGAAAATCAGCATCTCTGCTTAATATGTTCTCTTTAGGTCTGTGGCCCAGGCGCTGAAGACTGGCAAGCCCGTCAAACCGGAGCATTTCAGCGAGGTCACGCTTTACTTCAGTGACATTGTTGGTTTCACCACCATCTCAGCTCTCAGCGACCCCATCGAGGTGGTCGACTTACTCAATGACCTCTACACGCTTTTTGATGCCATCATCGGGCTGCATGATGTCTACAAGGTGAGGGCTGGAGGATCTTGTGTCTATCTATGTAGTTATATACAGCATCATGAGATAAACTGTATTATTATGTTTAATCTATAGGCCACCTGTTTCACTTTTTTATGTTTTTGATAATCAGTGTTTTGAAATATTATTCATTGTTTTTATAAAGTAATTACAGACACAATAGATCTGTTGTAGATCAAAAGAAACCTTTATATTTATATAGTGATGTATAAAATGATTTTAGATAAAGTCAACGACCAGCATTGAGTCGAAATAACCCAGTTTTAGCTCTGCTTTACTCTGATAATAAATTACTTAATGTATTAATCAAAAATTTGTTTCATTTTTGAAACAAGTTTTTCTTTTTCCCTATTGAACTTTTTACACAAGTTGTTGTTGATTTTGCTGAATCTGAGTGTATCCATTTCATTTCAACTCATTCTATTGCCACTATTTATTACAGCTTTTCTCAGCGGCTTTGGTACATTTCTCGAAACATCCTCGAGACATGTACCAAACATTGACATTTGCAAAATAGTAAGAGCACCATGGATTATCTGCAAAAAGCAGTTACTTGCTCAAAATCCTTAGTTCATCTCTCAAAACTAAATATCTGTCAATGAACATGTCAGTGGCATCAGAATGACAAGTCCCTGTGTCAATGTGTACGAATAAGACAGTCAGATTGTTTAGTCATGTTGTCAGTATAACAGTGAACTCTGGAGGGATGTTCTGATATAAACTATGGCTGAAGTTTTGATGACAATTATTGTAAATTGTGAGTTACACCTTAGTGTATGTGGGAGATTGATTGCAAGAGACTGGACAAGATTCACATTTAGGGTTTGTACTGTGATTTGTTGACAGACCATGTCATTGCAATACAGAAAGGAAAAGACAGCACTGCACAGCATCAAGACAAAAACAAAAGTAGAAATGTGAACATAAGACAGTCTTCTTAGGGAAAACTGTACATGCAGTGCTGTAGGAATTACAGTACAGTCTTTCTCTATACTTGCCAGTTGATGGTTCATAAGATGCACCTTTGAGCTATTTCAGAAACCTGGTCTATCATTGGTTTATCTATGTGATGCTACACACACTTTGCTTTATTAGAGAAATTCAAGATTCACCTGGGAGCAACTTACCAATTCAGGACAGATTTAGAAAAAAGTCTAATGGAAATGTATAGAAATATGCTTTGTTCAGCCATTTTGCATGTAAAGACTTGTGTGATGAACTAATGCCTAAATGTTGTGGGGGTGAGACAATTCAACAGAGACCTATTATAATCCATTCTGATCAACATGATGTAAGCTATAGATAATGTAGGAAACAGCAGAGAACTGTACATAATCATTTGCATGGATGTACCAAAGCATTTAGAACTTGTTCAAAAAAATGAGAAACTGCTTTTCTGATGTGCACAAGCGACACAATGATGTGAAGATTGAACAAGTAGTTTTGAGAATCCTGATCTGAGAAATGAACCAAAGTGACTAAGAAAAACTGTAAGGGAATTCCTTTATAATTCCTTCCTGTATTTATTTTTATTGTAAATCTTGAACTGCTGAGAGTAGGCAGTATGTGTATGTGTGTTCAACTCTTCATTTTTATGGCACTCAGGTGGAAACTATTGGAGATGCCTACATGGTGGCCTCAGGTGTCCCCACCAGGAACGGTACCCGTCATGCTGCTGAAATGGCCAACATGTCTCTCGACATCCTCCACTGCATCGGGACCTTCAAGATGCGACACATGCCTGAGCTAAAAGTCAGGATCCGTATTGGCCTGCACTCTGGTGAGTAATATGTTCATCCCTCCTGTGCTGTGATAAACCCCGATCAACGTGCTGCAACATCTTGAGGCAGCATATGGACAACTGTTTACCGTAAGTAATTACTTTAAAAGTCGAATCCAGGTGTACTGAGTAATATGGCGGGAAATAAACCTAAACTCCATTTCAGAGTCAGTTAAAGTTAATTAGTTGCAGAGGAATAAGAATGCTGGAGTACAAGCTGCTAAGGCAAGGAGGTATTTTTACCTCCTTTATCCTCGTCTGGAACTTATTCTTGGACCAGTGAAACACTATCCACTTAGAGTGCTGTCATCCAATTAACACACTGCAGACTCTGGATTTTTCTAACTCTGTTCTATGAATTTCTTTATGCACACAGAAGTGGTCGGGCACAGCTTTAATGTCACATACTGGGAAAAGAATTCTGAACATTTGTTGAAAGAGATTATTTAGTCTGTTTGAAAAGAGATGGAATAAAAGCTGTTCAAATGGAACAGAAACCACAATGTAAAAACTTCACACACAGTATCCATGATATAAGATGCTACCATATTTGAAGCCCCTGTAACCTCTGTGTGTGTGTGTTTGTATTCTGTTTGCAGGCCCAGTGGTAGCAGGTGTAGTCGGCCTTACGATGCCTCGGTACTGTCTCTTTGGAGACACTGTCAACACGGCATCTCGAATGGAGTCCACAGGGTTGTGTGAGTGTCTCATTGACAGTAATTTAAACCAGACAGATGCCTGCTTACTTTTATACATTTTTTTGAAATTGTAATAGTGGGTAGGAGACCAGGTGTGTGGCAGTTTGTGTACACGCTGCTTGAGGCTAAACAGGGCTTTAAGAGAGCAGTCCCTACTAATCCTTTAAGACTATCAACAGAATTAGAGGTCAATTTGAAGTTTCAGAATAAATGTCGTCAAAGACCAAGTTTGCCTCGGTTAGCCTCTGCATGGTGTACAAACTGACTGTAAACTTGAGCATTGGATATTAGGCACACTTGAAACTTTTAAACATAAAAATCAAACTCTCACATTTGATGGAGATCATTGAAGATCCATCCATCCATTATCTATACACTGCTTAATCCTCACTGGGGTCACGGGGGGGCTGGAGCCTGTCCCAGCTGACTTAGGGTGAAGGCAGGGCTATCGCAGGGCTACACTTACAGACAGACAACCAAGCACACTCACATTCACACCTACGGACAATTTAGAATCACCAATTACCCTCAACATGTTTTTGGACTGTGTGGGAGGAAGCCGGAGAACCCGGAGAGAACCCACGCTGCACAGGGAGAACATGCAAACCCCACGCAGAAAGATTCTGGTGCTCCCACCGGGATGCAAACCAGCAACCTTCTTGCTGCAAGGCAACAGTGCTAACCACCAATCCACCTTGCAGCCATCATTGAAGATAATACTGAAATAATGAAGTATTTACTGGTTAAACTGGCTGTTTCAGTGTAATTTACTTTATCTAAACAACAAATATGCACTTAGGAAGGACTAAATATATTTTTTACTAAAAGGAGGAAGCAGTACTGCATAATTTGCTGCCACCAAGTGGCTGAATGTCAAAATGGCAGCTTGACTTCTGTCTGGTCTCTCAGATACAGATCATTCAAAGGTCCCATATAGTTCTCCTTTACAGGAAATTAATCAAAGTCTTACATGTCCCTGCAGTCTTGACACTTTTTTTCAACTTAAAACACTGCAAAGATGGTTCATGTCACCATGACTGTATAACCCCTGGTTTTAGAGCTATTCTAAACAGGTTGTTTGGCTCTAATGAACCTCTGTTGTTCCTGCCCCCTTCAGGAAGAACACGATGGGTCACAGTTTTAACTGGACGGCGATTTGTTAGTGAGGTGTAACATCGCACCTGGGTCAAATATTTACTGGCTTGTGAACTAGTTATGGGGGAGCTTGATTAATGGCAGAAGTAAATGTTTTCATATCTTAACAGCTTTTGCTTTACACTTCCAAATTTAAAACAATCATAAAATGTAAAAACATTAAAAGGATCTCCACCATGTGGGACCTTTAAAATGTGGGGAAATTTCCTACAGACCAATAGAGTTTACATGTACTCCTGATATTAAATCAGTTTGTTTTTACCAATATGAATCCTTTCTTTTGTCTTTTCACAGCTTACAGAATCCATGTCAACCAAAGCACAGTTGATGTCCTGAACAGCTTGAAGCTGGGATATAAAATAGAAGTGAGAGGTCTGACGGAGTTAAAGGTAAATAAAACCAAAAACGACACTGAACAGACACATGACGTCCTCTGGCTCTGCAACATCAGCAAATGAACGCTAACAATGAATCATTTGTAGGGAAAAGGAGTCGAGAACACTTACTGGTTGGTGGGAAGGGATGATTTCAACAAGCCTCTACCAATTCCTCCAGACATGGCAGGGTAAGAGAACGTTTTGGTTAACACGTGCATAAATGTGATTTTCCTGATGTAGTTCTTGCATTACATTCACACTGTATAAGTTCAGATCATTGCAGCATTGCTTCATGTAATGCAATGGTTACGTAATGTTATGGTACATGAAACGCTGTATTTTCTCTTACAGAGGAAGCAATCATGGTATCGGTTTAGATGAAATACCTCCTGACAGACGACAGAAGTTCCTTGATCGACAGAAGAGGATGGGCTAGGCTGTGGTTTTGTCACTGATATCCAGGAGCTGAAAAGTGGTATTTTACACACAGATAGATGTGTCAACGAAGAGCTGAACGTGCAATACCAAACAGCAACAGCTATACTTTGTGCTACACTCAAAATGAAATCCAGAACAGTGTGATTGGAATTCACACTTCTTGCATTCATCACAGTTACTTCTACACCAACAGATTTTTTTCTTGGATATGATCATTTTCCTCATTCATAGCTTTAGCACATTTGTGCCACAACAAACCCAATAGCAGGCAAACTGTCTGCACTGCACTTCTCTAGTTTCTTTTTATACCAAAAGTATATAAACACAGCATCTTATGCATACCAAAGATAAGGTTCAGGTCCAAAACGTGTTGTTTAGATGACAGCAGTCGCCTAACAGAGGATCATTGTTTCTACAAAAACCATGTGTAATGCTGACGTGCTTCATGTACTGTATCTATTTGTACTGAACTTTGTGCTTTGTAGAGATATTGCAGAGATTTTGTCGTGAGCACCCCAAATGGTGGAAGCCATTACTGCTCGACTATTCATCTCAGTTATAATACAGCCAATGCTGGACTCACTTCAGAAGCATTAACCTTTCACAACAACACAGAATGAATACATCAGTACATTTCTTTTTCAGTGTTTCAGGCTGGAAAACACCGCATAGGTCAGTCAGAGTTGCTTTAATAGCAACATTACAGTTCACACATTTAACGATTCAAGCCATATTATCCAAAAATGGTCCAACATGTGTTCAACAAAGCATCTGGTCTGTTTATTTAATATTTGATTTCTTTATTAATATAGATTTTGAAAAAAGAAATACAATTTCTTTTTGACCACTGAGTCTTTTAACCTTTTATTCCATTACTGTAATAAGCCTGTTTGAGTTGATTTGACTGATAGGTCTGTTTCATTGTAACTTATCATTTAAGCGTATCTTAACACAAGAATAGCCTCTAAAGTTTAGTTCATGTGACTTGTTCCAATTGTGATTATAAAAATACAGACTGAACTAGGGGCCAAAAACATCTGTAAAGCTGGAAATATAAAATTGCAACTTTAAATAATAAATATTTTTTTGCGAAATACGTCACACAGCTGACATGATAGCGTTCTTCCAAAGACTGACTTATCATGTGCATCCGCAGTATGCTCCTCGCCCTAATGATGTCATGATACCACAGACAGTATGTATTGTTTTTAATGATGTGTGTATTGCTTTTAACGTTATGCTAACATTTTCTGCCACGACCTAGAAGATGTAAGCCACATGTAAACGAGACCCGAACCACTGCTCACTAACAACAAAGCAGCTCCGCTATGGTTTCACTGACAGTGCATGTAGCCTATTACTGCAACATGCTGCATGCATGGCTGGATGTACTGCGCGTTCAACAGGGTCTTACCAGGATGGCAATAGAAAGACCTTATTTAATACAGTATGTCTGTTCTGCACCAATGCACAGAATGTTTGAGTCAATTGACTGAATGATCATCTCCAATAATATGCTTCAGCAGATTAAGCCTTTTCATGTGTATCGCCATCTTCTAGAGGAAAAATGTCTGTGTGTGTCTGAGTTTTCCAGCCATTATCTTCTGTTTGGGCTCTCCTGGGCACAGCGGCTGTCTCTGAGGGTCCTCTGAGAATAACCGTTCACCTCCCATGCCCGCTCCCCCAGGGGATCCTACTGATTTTACAGAACATAGCAAAGGAAGCATACAAACATACAAAAAGGGGAGGACGGAGTTTTCTGAGTCGCTCCTCTTTGTCCTGGGGATGTGTATATACTGTAAATGTGTACATAGTTAGTTTGTCTTTGTGTCCTGCAGGTTTGTTTTTTTGTTTTTTTCGTGTTTTTTCTGCTTGGGCTCCCTAAACCCCTGACACAGAAGGAGATATTAACAAAAACACGGGGGTTTAATCACAGTGCATTCAAAAAGCAAGCAGCCACATTGTTTCCTCGCTCTCAGTCGGTTTCTAATTGTCTGCCACAGCACTGATATTGAAGCAACAATAGGCAGACAATGTCGGGATGTGCAGATTTTTGCTCTGAAAACACTTTTCAGGCTACAGACTTTCTTTTCTTTCGCTGGCAGCTCGCTGCTGACCACTTCTAACCTACGCCGACTTGTCGCAGTGGCTCAGTGTACAAACAGAAAAGTGGACATCTGATGTCTTGATTATCAGGTTGCCGGTGGTGTCGTCTTTCACACCATTAAGTGTTCAGCAGCAACACTGGCTTTTCAAGCACGATTAAACCCCTGACGAAGAGGACACGCGAGGGTCCTGAATCAAGACAAGGGAGAGCGGGTGTCTAAAGAACAAAATGAATAATTCTGTTGTATAGGTAGGACCCTCTTTTCCTAGATTTTTAATCAATTGCCAAATAGATAGAACTCATCAAACCTGAATGGACTGCATTGTTCATTTTGATCTCAATGTGTTTCTGTAAATAAATTATGGTTTTAGTGAAGACTGTGTTTTCTTATGTTTGTTTTGCTGAGTCTACATGTGTTGAGGCGACTTATTCCCAAATGACAGCACACTGCACTATTCAAAACAGCTGGACCCATAAATCACAAGTTCAATAATCATTCTGTAAATGACAGGTAAGCTGTATTTAGCTATTGAAGTGTATTTTATCTATTAAATCAATGGTTTGGAATAGCGGGGTTGTAACATTAGGATATATTTCATGTATTAAAAATTGCAGTTCAATGCGAAGAAGCAGCAGAAACTCAGTAAAAGTCTTACCACTTCACCATAACAAGCTTTGGGCTGCTTTTACTTACTTGGGCTGGCGTGACTCTGCTTTATTCTGTAGTGGAACAATCCAATGAAAATGTGAGGATGGCTTTACATAATGCAACTTCTGTGCAATACCCCCGCACGCCCCGTAAACAAATGTAAGCACTTATTCGTTCGAGCATCTAAGCTGCACTGTGTATCTCGGATACAATAAGATAATATTGTAAAGGTGACTTTGTGAAATGATTAAAATGTTTTTACCCAAAACCAGACCGTGAACACATCGTGTCTGCACTGCTACAAGTCTGTGAGGACACCGTGAACTTAAAAGTAATTCTTATTTCTGCCACTAGCTGGGGGTTGCTATGAGGACAATGTGATCACTTTGACAGAATGCTGTGCCAAACCTTTTTTTTCTCTCTCTTTTTTTGGCACTTTGGTGGTGCAATCACACCCCTCACATTCAAGCACAGACTGGATCATCTACAATGCAAGAGACTCTCTTTCTGAACTGCTATTCAGCTTAGTTTTTTTTTAGGATATCATTGGTTTGGTGTGTGACATTACTCAGTGAACATTCTGTCTGTCTGTCTGGGTATGTATGGATCAGAATATAAACAATCACAAAAACTACCTCAGTGCATGTTAAAAGGTTATTCACTGCCATATTGTGAGCTCTGGGGAATTCTGGTTTGGCTATTCTGGAGCACTGGTGTGCTGTACTATTCAGGTAAGCCTCTTAAACAACAATAGGACAATTAGCTCAGTATGTTGCAGAATACACTGTTGAGTATGTTTGACTCGTGTTTATTATCATAAATTAAATTGGATTTACTGCCTGTTATCATCAATTCAACCTGGAATTTCTTGCAACTGATTGTCAAGGCAACCGATTTGTGGCTGGTTGTCGAAATAAATTTCATTTAAATTCAATTGAGCTGAAAAGGAATAAACAACGAGGCTAATTGGACACTAATAAAACCACATTATTGCATAAAACATGGTAACACAGTTTTCTATCACTATCCTGAACCTCTCAAATCCCTCACTGGGGAGTTATTTTATCATCATATGCCCATTGTGTCTACTTTACAGGTAATTGTGCCTTCCTCTTCTTCTTCTTTTTTTTTTCCTGGAAAATACGCACATATGCATTTGATGGCTGCAGCACTACCCCAAAAATATACTCGGCCCATAGCTGCATAAGCCCCCACATCTCAAACAAAATGTTCTGCAGTTGTTTTCCTCCAGTCTTTGTACAGTTGGTGGGTTAAAATCCGCCAAAAAATGCTGAATTACACGACAAAAAACTCTACGATCGTCCACATGATGAGGGACGAAGTGTTCCTCGGCTGAACACCGTGTTCCTCTGCGCACCTCAGCAGCCCTGAAGCCCCCCTGGCATTTGACTGGCACCGGCTTGGAGGTGCCAGTCTGGGAGAAGCGGAGTCAAGTCAGCGGCAAGCGGGCAGGACGAGACCGGAAGCTAAGCGGACTGTCTTTCACTATAAAGCTTCATTCTGGGTGATTTTTTTGTTGTTGCTTTTAACCATGACCTTGATAAATAATCACTATCAGGGTTATTAGAACAGATGTTACTCTGCAAGATCAGTTTGTTTAAGTGAGCCTCTAATAGGAATACAGCAACAAACAGATTAGGAGTTTTGGCAACTAGATGTGGCAGCAGAATGAAGATATTTTTATTTGTAACATGTTCATATAATAATAATATTAGAATCAGTTTTATTGCCAGGGAGGTTTTAACATAGGAAAAGTTTTATATTGGATTTTGTTGCAAAACAGTGAACATTGACAAGTAAAAATATATTTATAGAAGATTTAAAGCAAGTGTTACAAATCAGATCAAAGTAAGTGTAGGAACTCAAAGCTATTTTAAAAGTAAAATATTAATAGAATATTATGAAAAATATTTACAATGTTATTTAACTGAGACAGCTGTAAGTCTAACAAAGTGTGCACAAGGGTAAAAGCTACTTGGCTGCTATTTGGTTGCATTAATGTAATTTATTGAGTCGTTGCCGATAGTGGGGACTGATGGGAGAGAATTATATATGTAATGTGATTTCTATTAAGAGTAGTTTTCTTCCATTTCTTCTGTATCAGTGCTGCTTGGATTACTCCTGTTTCAGTCTCCTTAAATCTCTATTCGTACTATCAGTTTTGTTGTTGTTATTATTATTATTATTATTATTATTATCATTATTGTCCACTTACATTTTC